AGAAGGAATTTTTTTAGGGAAAATAATGTTTGTAACCAGCTTACTTCCCAATTTCCCATTGATTTTTCTTGCAATAAACAAGAAAAAAATTGTACTTTCCATTAAGAATAAACATATCAAGAAAATTTTATTTTGCGAAAGTTATGTGAATTTACAATTATATCCTTTAACAATTTTTTTTTTTTATTTTTTTTAAAAAAAACTGACAATTTTGTCCATTTCTTTTGGGAAAGGGGAAAGTTATGTGAATTTACAATTATATCCTTTACCAAAAAAAATTGAAAAAAAAATAAAATAAACCTTACAATTTTTTGTCCATTTATTTTATTTATCTAACATTAAAAAAAATTAATGCATAATTTTTTAAAAGAATGGTATAATGATTCCTATCACTTAAGTGCCCCAAAAAAAAAAAAAAAAAAATTTATTTAGATTTTCACATTGCTTGACTTGTTATTTCATTTGATATAGACATATAACAAAGGACAATTTAGGTAAACAATAATATTTTCTTGTAACTTTCATTATGCAAAGCATGAAATGGAAATCTTTTACAACTTTCCTGCTAAATTTTTATCTTACAAGAATACATGTTGGAAAACTAATTTTATTTTAGTCCACTTCACTTTCTGTTCCTTTCACTTTCCAATACCTTTTTCCTTCTAAGCAAAAGAAGCCTCAAGTAAATTGACAAAGAAAGTAGGAACATCAAGTAGTTATAAAGAAAACCAGGTGTCATCACATCAATAACAAAAAGATAAATGCCATCATATCACCAACTTCTTGATGCTTCTAATAAAATTTCTAACAATGTGTTGAAGGTACTTTAAAAGTGTCAGCTTCGAGAGGCTGTTCAAGAAAAAAAGGAGGGCTTGAACTCCTCAAGTAAGAATCAAAATCTGTCAGTTCAAGTTTCTTAACTAAAACTGTTATTGACAACCTGGACTATAGTTGTGCAAGACGGATCAAATTGGAGCATGGGACAAAGACAGTTAATTTGTTTGGGAAGAACATTATTGAAAAGAAGGAAAATATTAGTGCTTGATGAAGCCACTGCATCTATGGACAATGCAACAGACTCTAATATCCAGAAAACTATACGTACAGAATTTGCAGACTGCATTGTTACAACAGTGGCCCACAGAATACCAACCGTTATGGACTGCACAATGGTGCTTTCTATTAGTGATGGTGAGTTTTAAATCCTGAAGTCATGTACAATAAATAAATAAATAAAGTCTTATTTTATTTGTCCAAAGATTGCAGGACAATAAACTTGGTTTAACGTTTACAGGAAAGCTAGTGGAGTATGATGAGCCCTTGAAACTCATGAACAAGGAGGGCTCTCTTTTTGGGCAGCTGGTTAAAGAATATTGGTCTCATACTGGAAATGCAAGAGGGTGCTCCAAAGATTGACAGGGAACGCACAAGTTGCAATAGTTAATAGGGTTATCAATCTTCAAGGCATTGGAATGTTGTGGTATGCATAAAAAGGCTCTCCCTGCTGGGCACCCGGTACTGTGAAGTATCAATCAAATTAGTGTGTTTATTTGAAATTGTTAACTTTATACCAATCAGTTTTTGGCATAAATTATAATATATACTTCAAAGAAATCAAAATAAATCCTAAACTCACCCTTGGTTAGGGAAATTAGGAATCATAAGAGTTTTCCCTATATTTGTAGGCTGACATTTTGTCAGAGATAATGGTGGTGAAACAGGTCCTGGTGAACTAATCGAGCTGGTCGAGCCATTGAAGACCTTATGAATCTACAAAGCCTTGGTAATGGTAATGAGCACTATGCTGGGTATTGTTGGTGTGTGAAGTTTTCAAAAATTATGATATTCAAGTACCTTTGTGTTGGAAATTTTAATGTGAAATATCTTTTGTGGTAGTGAGCACTACATTTCCTAAAATTAAAATGCAATGTAATTATTAAAGTTTGACGGATTGGGTTGTACTTCGCAAATTTGTAATCGGATTGGTAATATGTTTTTTTTATTTATCTGCCAGCCATCTACCCAAATTTGACTCAAGGTGATAGCTAGGTCATACTCAAAATAGAAAATCTAAATAAAACTAAGCTAAAGAGCCAAAACACCTGATATAACCAATTCAAATCTCTTATCTGTTTAAACATTCCTCCATTTATTTTTAGATCAAACATATTTCCATCACCACAATAATAGCTTAAACCGTAGATAGATGCAAGTATACTTCCATCTATAATCGTACTGTGCTTTGAAATCAGATTGACTTGTATGAAATGTGAGCAATCTTATTAAACAATAGCAACAAATGTAACCAACAAATATATAGTTGTAAGAATTTAAGCCTTCCTATCTCAACAATGACCTCAATTTAGAGTGAGATTGCTTTAACTTTCAAGAGAAAAATATGCATGTATTGGGAGATTTCAAGATGAAGCAACAGTTTAAACTAACAGGAATGCATGCGTGTGTTTGTGTGTGTGTGTCTATGTGTGTGTGTGTGTCTATATTATATAAGAGGAAGGAGTTGAGGAAGATGAGTACCTGAAAGCCGTGGACGCCTTTGTGTCCACTGAGAGAGTGTGGTCGACTTTGTGTCCACGGAGAGATTGAGAGTGGTCGCCTTTGCGTCCCCAAATTTGACTTGGTGGCGTGTTTCATTCAAATCCCTCGCTTTTCCTTTTCCTTTTCCTTCCATTCAAATCCCTCGCCTCTGTGTCACAAAATTTTCTATTCCATGCCACTACCCCACCTTATAAAATTAAAATGTTACCGTTACTATTTATCCAAATATGATTAAATATTAATAATTGAACAATTTTTTATTTTAACTTATCCAAACATATTGATTTCTTCATTTTTAATTTTGGGTAGAATACACTAACACCCCTTGAGGTTTGACATAAGGACAGTTAGGTGAAAGTTAGCTCTTTTTGGAACAATGACACCCCTTGAAGGTTCAAAAATGGACAAAGGCAACCCATGCAACCAATTGGCAAAAAATATTGACTAAATTGCCCTTTGACTCTACAAGTTAATAAATTGGACTAATCTACCCCTCATGATCAATTTATGCATCTCTACCGAACTCGCTGCCGGCTCTCTCACCATCACATCACCGGCTATTTTGTCCTCCGGTCTTGGTCTCGGCATGGAGCCTCTCTGTTCACAAGCTTTCGGTGCCAAACGTCCAAACCTTCTCTCTCTACACCTGCATTGATAGAGGAGAAAAGAGAGACCTCCTCAACGAAAACCACCAACAAAACCCAGTCCCGCAGTTCAGACTTCAGATCCATCTTTCTTGCTCACCGTCGCCAGTTTAGAACCTTGCTCGTCGATCTCCTCCTTGCACACCCATCACTGGAATTGTGACCGCAGATCACCACACCATCATCGCCGATTCAGTTCGTCCACCTATTCGTTGACCCATCAGACACAGCTTCGCCGTCAACCACCGCGGATCTCTATCAGATAACACAACAGAGATTGGCTAATTAATTTATTTGCTAAATCAATTTATTTATTATAGTTTTAGTTTCTTCAAGCTAGGCATTTAAAGACTCAAATTCACACACATACGTGATTTTCTAACACTATTTTTAAATGGAAACAGAAGTATAATGTTGTGAAAATATCAAACCGTCACAATGCAGCTGCATTTCTGCCAAATTTTCACTTTGCTTCGCCTTTTAAACGCGTTAAACTCCTATGAATTTGGGAAATATTCAGAATTTTATACATGATGTATATACTCCTTTAGCAAACTCTACAATTAACAAAGGATTTGATCTAAATTCCTACCTGCTCTGCAAATTTCCTTTTGTGGTTATCTGCATATCTATGTTATCAAGCAGAGCCTAGAATCAGTGCCATTCAATTCTTCCACTTCTATGAATTACGACATTTATAAAGCCAATTGGATTTAGCACTGGTTTAAATTATTATCTTGACTAGAAGAAAATGAGAAAATTGTGCATGTTTTTAATTTGGTTTTGATAAATATTACATCTGCCGGTCATTATTCTGATCCTCCCAATGAGTTTCTGCTCGAAGCCAAGCTGCTGTCTACCAAAAACACAAAACACAGCTACCACCATAAAATAGTCATTTGTGAAAATAAGAAATACTGAAAAAATTTCAAGCCTTAGAATATATCTCATAAATAAATAAATATTTATTTATATATATATATATATATATATATAACTCACCCAAAATTCTTCATCGATTAGCCACAAAATTCCCGAACTCAATTATATTTTATTGAATGAACTCTTCTATTTTCTTCAGCTTTAACCCTCATTTTCTCTCTCTAAAACTATTCTCTCTCTCTATATCACTCTCTCAGCAATCCCTCACCCCTTTTCCCATTCAGGGGCAATTTCGTCCTTTTAACAGGTCTGTTCTTTTACCATAAATCTGAATTTAATATTAAAGGGCAATTTTGTCTTTTCATATGATTTAAGGCCTTGTTTGGATGGAATTTTTTTAAGGGGGTGTCATTGTCCCAAAAATAGCTAACTTTCACCTGAGTGTCTTTATGTCAAACCTCAGGGGGTGTTAGTGTACTTTACCCTTTAATTTTTATAATCATGAAACAAAAGTGTTACATTTAGTACTCATTAGATATGAAAATATAGTATTTCATCGTTCCTTAATTTCATTAAATTTTGACTCGAAACTAGTCTTTAACTTTTGATAATTGATAAATAAGTAAAATTGAGTTATGGATGAATACAATAAAATGTTTAAATTTACAATTATTTTTCTTTTTATCGTCATCTCAAATTTAAATTTGAATTTGAGATTAAGATCAAAACTGAATAATGGAGCTGAGTTCCACTTGTTTGCAGATTTTTTTATTATTATTATTTAAATGCAACCCTAGTTCTGAGCAAAGAATTACCATCTTACCAACAAAGACGAAAATACAATACACACACACGTATATTCCGTATATATCACAGTCCCCTTTTGTAGTATTATTGTGGAACTGCGTCGTTTGGCGAGGCATTGCTGCATACATAGGCGCCATAGGAATCATCGTCGTTGACGGTACCCTCTGGTCGATCGTTAAGGACACTACCCTTTCACCTCCTGGATGAGTCCGCCACTCCCAACTGTATCACCTTGACGTTATTTACCACCATATATATTCACCACCAACCCTCCACCCACCATTTCTGTACCCCTCTCTCTCTCTCACTCTTTAAACCTAATCCTCTCCAACCCCTCTCTCTCTCTCTCTCTCTCCCCTCCCCACCATGGACGCAGCCTCCCTCTCTCGCATAGGCCTCGCCGGCCTTGCCGTGATGGGCCAAAACCTAGCCCTTAACATCGCCGAAAAAGGCTTCCCCATCTCCGTCTACAACCGGACCATCTCCAAGGTCGATGAAACCCTAGATCGAGCCCACCGCGAAGGCAACCTCCCGTTGACCGGCCACTACACTCCACGCGACTTCGTCCTCTCTCTCCAAAAACCCAGATCGGTCATCATCCTCGTCAAGGCGGGCTCACCCGTCGACCAAACCATCGCCGCCCTATCCGAGCACATGGACGCCGGAGACACCATCATCGACGGCGGCAACGAGTGGTACGAAAACACCGAGAGACGGATCCTGGAGGTCGCCGATAAGGGTATTCTTTATCTCGGCATGGGCGTTTCCGGCGGCGAAGAGGGTGCTCGTCACGGACCTTCTTTGATGCCTGGAGGCTCGTACCAAGCTTATCAAAATATAGAAGATATAGTTCGGAAAGTGGCTGCCCAAGTCGAGGACGGTCCGTGTGTGACCTATATTGGCGAAGGAGGGTCTGGTAATTTCGTGAAGATGGTACACAATGGGATTGAGTATGGAGATATGCAATTGATTTCGGAAGCGTATGATGTTTTGCGCCACGTCGGAGGACTTTCTAATGCCGAATTGGCGGAGATTTTTGGGGAGTGGAACAATGGTGAGCTTGAGAGTTTCTTGATTGAAATCACTGCAGATATTTTCAGGGTCAAGGACGACCACGGCGATGGTGAATTGGTGGATAAGATTTTGGATAAGACGGGGATGAAGGGGACTGGGAAATGGACTGTCCAGCAGGCGGCGGAGTTGTCTGTGGCAGCTCCGACCATTGCAGCGTCATTGGATTGTAGGTACTTGAGTGGGCTGAAGGAGGAGCGAGTGGCGGCTGCGGAGGTGTTGAAGGAGGCAGGATTGAAGGAGGAGGTTGCTTCAGTGAAGAGTGGGATTGATAAGAAGAGATTGATTGATGATGTGAGGCAGGCATTGTATGCTTCCAAGATTTGTAGTTATGCTCAAGGAATGAACTTGTTGAGGGCCAAGAGTGTGGAGAAGGATTGGAATTTGAATTTTGGCGAATTAGCCAGGATTTGGAAAGGTGGGTGTATTATTAGAGCTGTGTTTCTGGACAGGATTAAGAAGGCATACCAGAGGAATCCGAATTTGGCGAGCTTGGTGGTGGATCCGGAGTTTGCTAGGGAAATGGTGCAGAGGCAGGCAGCGTGGAGGAGAGTTGTGGGGTTGGCAATTTCAGCCGGGATCAGTACTCCAGGAATGTGTGCCAGTCTTGCTTATTTCGATACATATAGGCGTGCCAGGCTTCCTGCAAACCTTGTTCAAGCTCAGAGGGACTTGTTCGGGGCTCATACGTATGAGAGGATTGATCACCCTGGATCATTTCATACCGAGTGGACGAAGCTTGCACGAAAGAGTAATGGTGTTGCTGCTTTCAAATGAGCTTTCTGTTGTTCTTTAACTCAATTGTTCCTTTTGAGGGTTATTGGTGTTTGTAGTTGAATTGTGATTGCATCTGTTGCCCAGGATTCCCTGCTTAGGCATTACCTTGCTGTAATTTTTGCCTTTTTTTCCCCTTATAATAAGTTGTGCATGCCTTTTGAGAAGTGCAGGTTTCAATTTTTTCAAATGATTTTTCATGCGAAGAAAAGTTTTTGCTTATCCTTGCTTCTTTTTCTGTCACATTTCTTGTGTATAATTATCATTCCCTTTTTACCTTTGATACATGTTAAACTTTGAAATTAGATCATATAAAAGGAAAGTTTCTTTCCTTTCCCCTTATTTGAAACTAATTTAGTTACAAGAAGCATATTTTAGATTTCTATGGATGACCAGAAAATTCAAATTTGTTCCTAGTTTTGGGAATACTTCAGTTTGGAGCTCTGTATTTTATTCTTCTTTCAAGATAGGGGAAAGGAATGGAATAATCAGTACAAATGAAATTGAGCATCTGATCCATGTTTATCTTTCAAATTTGGCTCTGTGTAGATGCATACTTTATCTTTAAGTTATTTTCTTCCCTTTTTTTTTTTACCCATTTATTATCATGCAAATAAATGTTGTGCAACGGATTTAGTACCAAAGAAATGCCCTTGAATATTTCTGTGATCGTTCCATGTACCTACTCTTTCCTCTATAGTAACCAGTCATTGTCTTGTTTACTTTTTGTGTTTGATTTTTGTTGATCACTGTTAATTTGCATGGTACAATACAAGATTCGTCATGTTACATTGATTTGAGAGTTTGCATCTTGGACTTAAAAGTGTGGGTCTAGTTGTTAAACATTGTCTAACCTTAACCCCCTGCTTTGCATTATTTTTGTTATTCTTGCATGTCTTGCAGTAAGATGAATCCTCTTTGTTATGTAGAGTCTTACTCTGGTACTTCACCCATTGAATTATAAATGTCACATAATAAGACGTTAAAGCCAGTTTTTTCAGTGAACTTGTATCTCACTAGGTTGTTTCATGCTTCCTTTGGTGGTTTCTTTCATGTGTTCATGGTAGCTTATTTTATATATTTATGGAAAGGCAGAGGCAAATCTATTGAATCCAAAAATGCATTCTTGAAAATGGTTTGGAGAGGTATCAGATTAGACAAACTGGTTCTTCAGTGGATAATGTGGAGGGGTAACGTAAAGTTACCATCTGTGATGTTGTCTTGGAAATCAGCTACATGGCTTCTGAGTTACAATTGATTGCTGCTACATGTAGGTCCTTGTTTTATTTGTTTGAGGATTTACTTCTTCCTCTTTTTGATTTGTTAGGTAATTACTTCCAAGTGTTCAAGTTTTCTTATTCATTGTTGCGCCCCACGCTTTTAAGTTTTTTATTGATTGCTGCTGCACGCTTTCTTTAAATATAATTTTGTTGTTCTGGATCTTTGTTGAACATTTGGCTAGCTTATTTTATATAGAGAGACTTTGGAGAGAGAATCATTTCTCTTGTATATACAGCAAAATTTGGGACTTGAAATTAGTACTATGTAAAGTTCATCATAGCCTTGTATAAGGCTTTGTCTTCTGGTTTTTAAAATGACAATCAGCTTGCTATGATAAATTTATGGTGTCCTTTTGCTCATTAATTTGAAGAATATATTTATTTTCAAATATTTATATACTGTATTTTAAAATGACAATAAAATATTTTCACACGTTGTTTGCACTTTCCGCTATAGTGATGTCTTTTGTCCTTCTGTTCATTAATTTGAAGTCTTTTCTCATTTTCAAATGTTCATATACACAGTTATTTAGACTTCTCTCTCTCACTGTGTATGTGTGTGAAAATGCAACTGCTTCATGATTATATGATCAGATATCATTTATATGAATGAAAATTGTTTGTGTTGCTATAAGTCACATACAAAATTTCAAAGTGACTCCAAACAAATCTTGCTGCTAAGATTCATTCTTTACATATGAAGTAAACACCTGTAACATCCCTTTAATTGACAGCCCTATCTCTCTCTCTCTCTCTCTAATGTTCCAAACTATAACCTGATAGTACCTTAGAGGGATTGTTTATTCTGAAAAAAAAATAAATATAAAAAGAACAATCAACAACAAACCGCCACTGCCAGAGACCAAAAAGGGAAATGGAAACATAAAAGAGCTATGGAACACTTAATCCTCAAGGACTGGATGAGTTCTTGTAACAGTTGCAGAAGGCATTTTAGTGGTACCAAGCCATATTGTTTCAAGAACCACGTCTTCATCAGCTTGTCTTTCCATTTCGTCGATTTTCTTCTCTTTCGAGAGCTTGACAAGTACCACCCCAACAATACTCACCACAACCACCCCAACAAATCCCATCATCATAAATCTAATCGCCCGCAAATCCCACGCCTTCTGCTTCTTCTTCTTCAATGGAGCAATGATCGCGAAATGACCCTCACTTCTACTGTAACATACATTTGGGGAACTCACATCGCTAAGATAAACTGTCCCGCTGCCATTAAAACCAGTACATGTTGTTCTTGTTGCAACCGGGACTGTAAAATTGGGGAAATGAATCGATAAGGCGTTGCCCATTGTGTCAATTCCGAGCTTACTGAAATCTTTATAGGTTGAATTTGGGGCAGTGTAAACCATGAAGCCAACCACAGAAGTTAACAGTGTGTAACCTGGCGCATTGTAGTAGTAAGAAGACCAGTTGCCCAAATCTTGGAAGACTAGAACAACTCTCCTCACATGAGGCATTGGGAGAGATCCTGGTGGGATGCGAAAATCGCCAACGTTACAACCACTACTCCACAAAGTCCTGCTTCGAAGCCGTACAACCGAAACTTCCATGCCTGATAGATTAGCAGGCAGTGTGACTTTTTGTAGAACACCAGTGTGAGATCGGTGTTGGATTAACGCGTTGAGAGCAAGATCCCGAAGGAGACCATCTAAATATTCACGGGCAAAATTATCATAGCTGTGGACTGATGAACTGAAGAACAAGTAGAGAACCAGCCAGATAGTACACCAGCTCCTGTTGGAACCCATCAGAGCCAATCTAAAGATCTGTTGATCAGTGCATGATATATGAAAGACCGTAACTAGAGTCGCAATTCTCTCTCTTCATATTCAATTGGATCTGGATACTACGCTATCATCTAATAGTTTGGTTCTGGAAATGCAAGTCTAATCACCTGATCAATTGGCAAGATTCTTGGAAATGGCTAAATTTTGGTTGATTAGGTGTTAAGAGTAGCAGAAATTGGTGATGACAAAAGGGTCATTGAAGAAGATGGGACATGGGACTATAGAAGACTTGCCTTGATTCAGTTGATTCTGTTCTACGAAGTTATGCAAATAATGGGTCCTACTTGAAAGGTGGAAAAGAAATAACTACATCTTTTAATCATAGGTTTCCACCATGGGGTAATGCAATCATATTGTTGGTGGTTGACAAATGATGAATCTTGCTCCATAGTATGCGGGGATTAACTCAGTGAATGGTGGACTGAAAAACGTTAAGATGATAGTGAACAGCCTAATTTTCTGTGATGCCAAACATCCGACTTCATGATTTGCAAACTGCTCAATGTGCCAAAGAGACGACACTATTGAGAAGGCAATTTTTTTTTCCCTGATACCAATAGGATTTTATTTCAATTCGAATTGATGCCAAGAACTTGGCCAAGAGGGTTCCACTCTAAACCGCAGGGATGGCTTTATCCACTTTTTGCACATAAACACGCACACACACAATATAAACCAGTTTTTGATTCAGATGGAAATGTGTAATATGAGGTACAAAGATGACATGCAAGTACATATATATATATATATATATATATATATATATATATATATATATATATATGTTATATACACAATGGCTTAATACAAAAGCATTCATTTCAAGTAGCTTAGGATCCCATCTGACCCCGAATCCCTACTATTAACCCTAATCATCGAGCCTGCAAGACAAATTGTACCTACTCCACATCCTGTCATCTAAGAACTAAGAGCAATGTTAAACAAAGAAACATAAATGAAAGCTCCGTGAGACAAGTCTTTGGAGAAGACTCATTGCCTGATGGTAAGCTCAGCCCTGAGATGGAGGATACCATTGATGAAATAAAGGCTATCCTCAGCCATGAAAGCAGTCCAAGGTATACCAAACAGGTTCCTATACCCAACAGCTTTTCCTCCAGTAAATGTGTAGTTTCCTTTATACTTGCTCGCATACTCTTCAGCCGGCTTTGACCTCGCTGCAAACTCATAGTCAACTGCAAAAGACACTGATCCCTTCTCTTGCATTCCTAGAAACAGCCCAAAGCAATGAAATGAGCTTTGTTGGTCCATGTTGCAGTGGGCAGACAGGAAAAACCCCTGCCCACCAAGATGGAAAGCCTGTGAGTAGACCCGGCCAGATGGAAACAGATGTGCACACTCCTCCCGTCTCAGGTCTAGGTACACAATACACTGCTGACGAGGCAGTTCAAACTCCACCACCTTAACTGGACGGTACTTGTATGACCGCTCTACAAACCGACGAAATGTGGCATTAGCCTCCTCTGCAGCAAGGGATCGCTGCCGATATGGTGCCTCGGCCTTAAAAAAAAGAGCCTCAAGGACAACCTTAGATGAAAGTTCAGGATCAAAGTCATTGCACGTTAGAACTTTCTTCAGTTTTCTGCAAGTCATGTATGGGAAACGGATAAGACGACCAAGACGTGAGCCTAGGACTTCTCGCCGTTCCTCCAGTTTTGGGTAATGACTGCGGGCCCACTTTAGCACAAAATCATAAACAGCATCCTCTGAAGCCACCTGTAGATCATCACTGGATAGTACCGCTTCAATTCCGGCTAAAGGCAAGTTCAATACCTCCTCTTGGAACCTGGAAAGAAACAGAGAATCATATTCATATCTCAATCAATGAACTCTAAGAAAAAAGACCAAATGATTCAGTGGTTCTGAGAAAAAAGACCAAATAAAGTCCATTTAACAACAAATTTGAATGGAGGTAAAGATATAGAGAGGAAAAAAGAAATCAATTCCCCAGTGCTGGTTCCCATTAATAAGGTTATTGGGAGCACGGACTTGGCACAAACCTAACATTTTGCACAATGTGGTGACCTTCAAAGTCAAACTTGGATTCTCATGATTGTAGCACATGCACCAAGCAATGGCTTCTAAAGAATGGAGGTAAAAACCTAAAACAAATACGTAGTGTGTGTGTGTGTGTGTGTATATATATATATATATATTTTAAAACGACTGGGGATAAGATTACCATTGAAAAAGATATAATGGATTATCAAAAAAAAGGAATGATAGGAACATGACATAAAGAGAGAAAACAGTGAATTATACAAGGCACGATGATTCAAAGAGGAAAAAAAAGAAATTGCTTATTCAGAAAAGAAACCATTTCCAGGAGTATTCATTTCCTCTCTTTGTTACTTCTGAAGCCAAATATTTAACTAGATCAAAAATGAAATTGACTGGATCTATGTGAAGTAGAAGAGCTCACTTAGTTATGTCCTTGTAACGTGCAGCAAGAAACTGCTTCGCCGCATCTGTCAGTGGCTGAACTGCATCAGCCATTAAAACACTATAAGGGAGATCCAAATAGAGCAAGGCAGACTCGCAAGTCATTGGCAAGTTTCGCAATAACCGGCTGCAGTATCTCATGCATGAAGCAACTTCGAACTTGTCCGCAGCCATCAGCACATCCAGCAAAGCAGAAGGCGTGGTTGTTGATAAAGTGTTACTATACATAAAATTCAGGAGTTCCATGAGGGCAGCTTCTTCTGATGACCAAAAAAAGAAGGGAAAAAAAAAGAAAAGGGAAAGAAGTGTTGTAAGGATCATGTTGAGCACTCAAAATTTTCCTAAAAGGAACAAAGGGGGAAAAAAAAAAAGGGGAAGATAATTATGATAAAAGAGTAGAACTATAAATGGGTTCAAGTAACAAACTAGGCCATGTTAGTGACCAAATGAAAGTGAGGCAATTTTTATATGAAATGAACCAACTATTTCCATTGACACCAATGATTACCAGAGGCATGGATTCGTAGAGTTACATGTCGCTGCTCTGACTCCCTCATCCCATTCGAAAACAGCTACAAGAAGAGGCCCAATATCAACTTATTTAGCAAGCCATTAAGCCAAGTTAAAAAAAAAACAGCACAAACAAGATTACAGTAGTCTTCACCTTGTAAAAAAATGGACTCTTTGCTGCCAGAATTGGAGAGCTAATGTGTATAGTCTTGACTCGAAGAACTGTTGAACAGTCCATACTCCACGATGGATCAGTGCTCTGAACAGCTTCATCACCTACAAAAAGTGTCTAATAAACTTGAAATCTGTACCGCACAACCAGCTAATATCATGAAAATTATATTCAACCCATGGCTGACCAAATGCAACCTATCCTGACAGCATTTTTAACTTCAAAACTCGAGTGTAAAATATCATATCTGAAGTTTTATTGCAACAAACAACAGAATTTAGTTTATTGGAATCAAATTTATGTTAGAGACAGAAAGACTTGATTATTGTTATTGTTATTATGTTTGTTACCATCATCATCATCACTATTATCATTATTATAATAGATTTCCTAGTGGGAGAGGGGAGTCGTACCAAGTTAAATTGACATGTCAAAGATCAAACAAAAAAGAAAATGCATACCAACTTGATTCATATTCATTCCCACAACTGAGGGTGATTCCTCTATCATTGCAACAACTTCCTCATCTTGATTTTCATAGACAACACCATCCTCTGTGTCCGGCATGTTACAGCTCAAAATCTGCTCATCATGGTGCAAGAGCATATCTACAGCTAAGGATAAAAGAGAAATTATAGCCCAAGTCAATAAATTAGAAATTGACATGAAAGTTAAACTTCATAGGGTAAAGTGCAAAAAAACCCCTTGAACTATGTTAGAAACTTAGACTTTACAAATGACCCCCTTGAAGTATATTTTGTGTATAATACCCCTTGAACTATCACATTTTGTTGCAAAATGCCCCAATGCCTTAAATGACCATAATGCCCTTTCCTATTGAATTACACTTAATCTATTTTTCTTATTGAAATAAATTTGTACTAATTTGATGACATATTCTCAATTAAATTTGCATAAATTTACCTTTAATTTTTAAAATTAATTGTTTAATTAAAATTTTAAGCAGAAATTTTTTTTAAAAAAAATTAATTAATTTCTTAATTTTTCATGAATATATTGCATGAAAAAGAAGGTATTTTTATTTAAGTAAATTGTAAATTTTTCACGAATATATTGCATGAAAAGGGTAATTTTCTACTGTAAACAAGTTTATACGAGGATAATAAGTTTTATTATAATTAGAAAGGTTTTAATAATAAGTTAATCAATTTAGAAAATGGTAGTTACAAATCTTTTTTTTTTTTTTTTTTTCCATTTTTTTATGATAAATTGATACTAATAATAAAATTAAGGTAAATATTATAATTAACATTTAGATAAGAGAAAAGATAATAAAAATAATTTAATAAGAAATGACAAATTTAATGAGAAATGGTAAAATAGTATGTGTTTGTCCTTCATGACAACAAATCAATAGTCCAGGGGGCAATTTTTAGTTCAGGCGGTTATTTGCAACAGAGCAGTGGTTCAATGGTTTTTTTTGCACTTTAACCATCTTTATATGATATGTGATGCTTGTCAGAAGGTAAACCTAAATGTATTCATGCGACAAAAATATTTCAAAAACATAAAAATAAGAACTGTTTAAATGCATAGATGAAGCAGAATAACTGGCAATTCTGATAACCTTCCAATCTATAAGACAATGAAGGGCATAAAAGTTGGAACTAACAAATTTTTAAAAATGGGCTTTTATAATGTTTTTCAACAAATTTCATCCGCACCAATTTCCACATGAACATTAGTCCCTTCTCAACTTCAGCAGCCTATTCAAACACCCACCCCACTCCAAAAAAACAAAAACAAAAAAAAAAAAAAGAAAAAAGAAAAAAGAAAAGAAAAAAAGAGCACCATCCGTGTCACAACCTTGAGGTGTGAGCACTGAATCAGCAAAAACACAAATCCAACGCCAAAGGGCATATCTACCATATCATCACTCCATGCCTAATCTATCAAATTCAAGTTGCAAGCACTGCAACGCCTAAAACATAGTGGGGGCCATATATAAACCAATTTCAAGTACACTCATCTCAATACAAAGCTTCACAACAAACCAATAACCTGTCAAGACTCCGACTTTGTCAGCAAATATCAAAATTCCCATTGAATTCACAGTTCGTGTCACCAATGTTCAATATAAATAATAAACAACCAGCAAATCGAGCACCCATCAAATTCGGTAATTGACATACAAACAATTATATATAATGATCATCACCAGTTAATTAAAAAGAAAATGCACATAATATAGCATATATATACAAATATATAAATTGCAAAGTTACCAGTTTCTTTCTTGATTTCCTCTCTCCTTCGCTTCCGATTTCGGGCCCAGTCGGCGATAGTGTTACAACCTCCGTCGCCGTCTGATTTAGTATCGGGCAAATCAGCCACAACCTCGATTTTCAGAACCCGATCAGAGAAGTTGCTGTCGTTGAAAGCGAAGGCGAAATCCGAATCAGAACCCGACTCACATCGCCCACTGCCAGGAGAGAAGTCCGAATCCATGGTTGTTTGAGGATCGAACAGGTCTACGTTCAAATGTTTCATCAACAAAAAAACGAAATGGGGGAGAGAGCAAGTTGCGAAACCTAATCGTTTGAAGAGCGCTATTGACGAGGAACGAATCTCAAGAAAGACTAAGCAGTAGTTGAAACTGCAAGAGACCCATACGACGAATCGAAACAAACTGGAAGCAGCGTGAGAGCAATCGAAAAAGCCCTAGAATTTGGGACTAATTGTTTGGAGTCTTTCGACTATGCAAAAAGAATACACACTCCATACATATTACACGTGGGCTCCATAACTACCTGTTAGTTGGTTCCTTGGTTTGTAGGGTGTTTAGGTATTTTTTGATTTATTTCTTAAAAAATTATAATAAAAATAGTAAATATAAATAATCACGAGAACATAAATTAATGGAATGTTAAAAAATAATCACGAGAGATTATCTTTTGATTCCTAAACTGCCCTCTACACTCTTTGCGAAGGCAACCGCCGAAAAAGGCTTCCCATCTCCGTCTACAATTGGACCATCTCCAAGGTCAATGAAACCCTAGATCGAGCCCACCGCGAAGGCAACCTCCCCTTGACCAGCCACTACATTCCATGTGACTTTGTCCGCTCTTTCCAAAAACCCAGATCGGTTATCATCCTCGTCAAGGTTGGCTCACCCAGATCGGTTGCATTTGTAGAGAGAGAAGGTGACGAAAACGAAAAGACTGGAGAGAGAAACCAAGATGAAGGAAGAGGACCCAAACGACTTAACACTCCTCGACGCCGCCGCCGACCACGAAGGACCTTCCGGTGATGCCGATGGCGGCGATGTAGTGCTAGAACACCGTGGCAACGGAGACGGGACTGGTGGCGGCAATACTAGTAAAGCCCACCGCGGTTCTGAGTCGACTCATGAGCAAGTTCAGGGTGAGGAATTAGAGCTTGATCGCCCGAGGAATACCCGAGCGGTCCGGCAAGTCTCGCCGCCTACGGTATCTCGATCCTTGCGTGAAGCGCAAGCCCTTTACTGGTAACCACCGCCATGACCAATTCAATCTTTCACTTTCACTTTTTAGTGTAAAGATTATGTATATGTGTCTGTTGATCGGTCTATAGTATTCAGTTCTGATTTTTTATTTCAAATCTAAGGGTTTTTGTGGATTTCGTTTTCCGACTGTTCTAGTATTTTTTTTTTTTTTTCTTGATTCAAGATTTAATGGTTCTCTCTGTGTTTAGTAGTTGGATTAGTTGAGTTTAGTTGGCATTAACTTTGTGTTTTGTTGAATGCGGTAATCTAATTCTTTGTTGGTTGATCTCTGATTGTAAATCTTCCACATTTTTATTTTCCGTTCTTCCAATGTTCATATAACTCCTGTATCTCTCTGCACACTTGTGGTTTGTTTTTTGTTTCATTTTAAACTTTATTTTATGAGGATTTGTTTGATCATTCAATTGAAATTGAACTTCTCAGATGTAAAAATTCAAAAAATGTAACATTATTTGTTACTTGTATGGTAGCTACTGTTTTCCAATGGATTCATTTGGATGATATATTTTTAGGGGCCCAAATCCCTGCTGTGAGTTACCTTGCAGTCCCCTGCTGTGAGCTGATGAAAAGCCTTAGTTTGATCACGTGTGCTTCAGTTTGTAATATGTCTGTGGACTCCACTAAAATGGTGCAAAACGCATTATTATGTTAAATCTGCCTTCCGTTAAACATCCATCTCTGAAAAAGCCCAAAAGAGCCGGCTCTACAAATTAATTGAGCTGTCTCCAAAAAATTGGGTTGAGCCGTCTCCACATTTCTTCTTGAGCCAGCTGTCCATTATTTTTTTTTTCTTTCATTTTTATATTTTTTTGTTTGGCAAGGAACCGGCTCTAAAAATTCTGAGAGCCGGCTCCATATTTATTATGAGCCGGCTCAACAACTTAGAGCCGGCTCCATTGAACTTCAAGAGCCGGCTCCATTAAATCCTAAGAGCTGTTAAATTTAGGTGTGAAATTAGTTTGGTAAAAGTGTGAAATTAGTTTGTTAGAACTGTGTGAATAGCTTATTTTGATGGTGAAGGTGATCAGTGTCCCTACTTATTAAACTTTACAATGTATTTTTTCTCATAAATATGACATAATAACATGTGAAATGTGTAATTGCCGCATACATGAGAAGACAAAATATTTGGATAACACATTGGTATCTAATGAAGCCAACTCAATTTAAAAAAAACAATTATGGAAGATTTTACATTCACTAGAATGGTTATTGAAGATTATAGAAAAAAATCCTACAATTAACCAAGATTTCAAATACGCTAGAATGCTTAACTAATGTCAATTTCAAGTAAAAAAAAATCATAATTTACACTAACGGATAACAAATGAAAGAATTAAAAAATGTTAAATCTAGGTGTGAAATTAGTTTTGCAGAGGTGTGAAATTAGTTTTATAGAACTGTATGAATAGCTTATTTTGATGGTGAAGGTGATCAGTGTCCCTACTTATTAAACTTCACAATGTATTTTTTCTCATAAATGTGACATAATAACCTGTGAAATGTGTAATTGCCGCATACATGAGAAGACAAAATATTTGGATAACACATTGGTATCTAATGAAGCCAACTCAGTTAAAAAAAAAAAACAATTATGGAAGATTTTACATTCACTATAATGGTTATTGAAGATTATAGAAGAAAATCCTATAATTATCCAAGATTTCAAATACGTTAAAATGCTTAACCAATGCCAATTTCAAGTAAAAAGAATCATAATTTACACTAACGGATGACAAATGAAAGAATTAAAAAATGTTAAATTTAGGTGTCAAATTAGTTTTGCAGATGTGTGAAATTAGTTTTACAGAACTGTGTGAATAGCTTATTTTGATGGTGAAGGTGATCAGTGTCCCTACTTATTAAACTTCACAATGTATTTTTTCTCATAAATGTGACATAATAACCTGTGAAATGTGTAATTGCCGCATACATGAGAAGACAAAATATTTGGATAACACATTGGTATCTAATGAAGCCAACTCAGTTAAAAAAAAAAAAAACAATTATGGAAGATTTTACATTCACTAGAATGGTTATTGAAGATTATAGAAGAAAATCCTACAATTATCCAGTATTTCAAATACACTATAATGTTTAACCAATGTCAATTTCAAGTAAATAAATATTATAATTTACACTAACGGATGACAAATGAAAGAATTAAAAAATGTTAAATTTAGGTGTGAAATTAGTTTTGTAGAGGTGTGAAATTAGTTTTGTAGAACTGTGTGAATAGCTTATTTTGATGGTGAAGGTGATCAGTGTCCCTACTTCTTAAACTTCACAATGTATTTTTTCTCAGAAATGTGACATAATAACCTGTGAAATGTGTAATTGCCGCATACATGAGAAGACAAAATATTTGGATAACACATTGGTACGTAATAAAGCCAACTCAGTTAAAAAAAAAAACAATTACGGAAGATTTTACATTCACTAGAATGGTTATTGAAGATTATTGAAGAAAATCGTACAATTACGCTATATTTCAAATACGCTAGAATGCTTAACCAATGTCAATTTCAAGTAAAAAAAAATCATAATTTACACTAATGGATGACAAATGAAAGAATTAAAAAATGTTAAATTTAGGTGTGATATTAGTTTTGCAGAGGTGTGAAATTAGTTTAGTAGAACTGTGTAAATAGCTTATTTTGATGGTGAAGGTAATCAATGTCCCTACTTATTAAACTTCACAATGTATTTTTTCTCATAAATATCACATAATAACCTGTGAAATGTGTAATTGCCGCATACATAAGAAGAAAAAATATTTGGATAACAAATTGGTACCTAATGAAGCCAACTCAGTTAAAAAAAACAATTATGTAAGATTTTACATTCACTAGAATGGTTATTGAAGATTATAGAAAAAAATCCTACAATTATCCAACATTTCAAATATGCTAGAATGCTTAACCAATGTCAATTTCAAGTAGAAAAATATCATAATTTACACTAACAGATGACAAATGAAAGAATTAAAAAATGTTAAATTTAGGTGTCAAATTAGTTTTACAGAGGTGTAAAATTAGTTTTACAGAACTGTGTCAATAGCTTATTTTGATGGTGAAGGTGATCAGAGTTCCTGTGATCAGAATTTTTAGAGACGGCTCTTTGCCAAGCAAAAAAAAATAAAAATAAAAGAAAAAAAAAATAATGGACAGCCGGCTCAAGAAGAAATGTGGAGACGGCTCAACCCAATTTTTTGGAGACGGCTCAATTAATTTGTAGAGCCGGCTCTTTTGGGCTTTTTCAGAGATGCCGAGAGATGGATGTTTAACGGAAGGCAGATTTAACGGAATAATGCGTTTTGCACCATTTTAGTGGAGCCCACAGACATATTACAAACTGAAGCACACGTGGCCAAACTAAAGCCTTTCATCAGCTTGTAGCAGAGGACTGCAGGGTAACTCACAGCAGAGGATTTGAGCCCTATTTTTAGATTATGTAAAATATTGACGAGTGATTAAGATTCTGTGAGATGCCCTTATTGTTGCATGCAAATCACACTAGAGGAGATAATGACTGCATAATGGTTATGGTTGCATGAGCAAAGAGTGTGGAGGGCAGTTTAGGAATTAAGAAACAATCTACAGTAAATTTCCATGTCCAAGTCAGCATTTGAAAAAATTTCATTAATTTGGAAAAATTAAGTTTGACTCTACCTTTTTGGCATTTGACCACAAAAATACCATTTTTATGAAATTATCCCTTGTTTTAAAGGGGAAAATAAAATTATTCCATATGGTTGAAAGTAATTCTTTTTCCTTTGAAATTGATCATTTTTCACATTTTATTCATTTAAATTATTTTTATCTCACACAACTTTTCTTAACGGCTGTGGCTCTCATGTTTCCACTTCGGTTCCTACACGGTGTAATTTGCCGTTTTCGCACTCTTGTTCTCGCTCTTGTTCTTGCTCCTCTTATGTGTTTAGTCATGACCCATAACTCGTGTTTAGAAGCATCAAATTGGTGTTTTGAATTTGAAATTTAATGAAATTTAATTTAAAAAGTACATTTCCTAACACATCATCAAAGTTTATAGTTGAACTGGGCATTTGATCCATCAATCTATGAGTTTGATTCGATTTGTGTGGATCAGATCGGATTGTTAGACGCACAGTGAGTTCAATAATATGAAATTTGTAATTCACGGATCGAATTACAAATTGGGCTATTAAAATTTCCATCTGATCTGTGAGATTTATATATATATATTCTAAAAATGTACTAGTTAGTAGATGCCTCAATAGCCTAGTAGGTAAGTGCCGTCGGTGAATTTTAGAGTGTCAGGCTTCGACTCTCTACATCTACTAATCTAACTTGTAACCCTTTATGCTTGTTAAAAAAAAAAAAAAAAATGTACTAGTTAATGATCTTTTAAATTAAAATTAATCATTTGAATTAATGTTGATAAATTGAAATTTTATGTTATACTTAAAAAATAATAATAATGGGCTATTTAGGAAAAACCCCAATCAGTGAATTCGATCCAATAGGTTATTCCATGAATTTGATCAAATCCGATCTATTATCCCACGAATCTTGGACGATCCTCTGATCTGACTTCCTGAACAAAGAGAAGAAAAGGTGGAGTAGGCTCCGACGAACAAGTCAGTGTACAAAGTAATCTCTATGGAGAAATCAAGAAATTGAGTTAGGATCTATCACATACTTTAAAATGTCGATTAGCCCCCTCTATTGCATATCTTAAAACGTCGTGAGTTAGGATCTATCACATACTTTAAAATGTCGATTAGCCCCCTCTATTGCATATCTTAAAACGTCGATTAGCCCCCTTTTTAAATGATTTAGGTAGACTTATCGTCATCTTAATCCTTATTCCTTATCGTAATCTGTAAGCTTAATCTGTATCGTAATCTGTAATCTATATGCTTAATCCTTATCGTAATCTGTAGAGCTTATCTCAATCTTATGAGATAGTGGGTTAATTTAACAACCTTCCCCTATCCGCGGGGTATTTAAATTATACATCCATCGTTATATAATCTTTCAAAAAATTAAAAGACTTACCATTATTACATTTTCTAGCACTCTATTTTCTCAACCTCTTACACCCT